TGGTAAGATTTTAACATGCTATTCTGTTTCTTCTATACTTCCAAATATCTTACGCTTATATATAGGCTATATGCAGAAGGCTGAAGGCTAAGTTCAACGGAACCTCCACAGGCGCATAACTTTTCTAATTTCGTAGACTGTCAGTAGACATATCATGTAAACAAGGTCACCATTAAAAGATTGTTTTATAAATATTTACCATGGTTGCCAACTTCTACCAACAAGAATATGACATGTATTATGGACATTTTAATTTTGAGAACGGCTATATCTTGGTTCACTTGTATTGTTTATTGCCACTCCGGCGAAAACCAAATCACTGTTTAAATATTGTATCAAAATACAATCCCAGCCATGCAATGACGGTAGTAAAGTACAATAATTGTGAGTCTATCGGTCAAAATACGACTGAATATCGATCCGATCGACATCTGGGTTGGGTGGGTGAAATATTAACGTTGATTCGACGTTATTTGTGTCCACATGAATATGGACGTGGCCCCTTATTTATACTGTGCTATACACAACATATTCTCTATGACCATGTCATATTCTCTATGCCTATATGTCATCTGTCAAATTTTGCTCATGACTTTGGTTATCATGAGGAGGTTATCAACGGCTATGCTCTTCATTAATTATAATTATTAATGTATAATGGATTGATGGTTATGTCCCTGAAGAATATTGGAAACTGTTACTAGTTCTCTTGAAACATTCTCTATCCTAAAAGAAATTTTTTTCAACCCAGAATACAATACTGACATAAAACACAGTGGAAATTTGATGGAACACCAGATACTATATATCACCTTATTATTTCACAATGGTACTTATCCCAATCCTTCTGGGAACCAGATGTGCAAGTGTGTGTCTTTTATACAAGTAGAATTGTATACGATCATATAATTAATATTTCCTGTAGACTAAACCAAGTATAATTTACACCGGAATCATCGGACTGATAGCTACTGTCGGATTCTGTTGTCGACATGATAAAAAGATCTTAAAAGGGCGCGGAAATCAAATGCTATTGATGATTGGGCAAATTATAAACGCTCCAAATGTCATGTTGTAAATCTGATTAAAAAGTCAAAACGTGATTACTTTCAAGAAACAATCGAAAACAATAAAGGAAACCCCAAAGGAATCTGGAATGCTTTGAAGATTTTGACTAAGGCACAAAAATCAAGTAAGATCATTGAGCTAAAGAGGGATAGCGGTTCGTCCGAAACAAACGTATTGGAAATGGCAAACATGTTAAACGACTTTTTTGTAAATATTATTACACAAATACAGAACGATCAAGTCTTAACAAATCCTTTGGATACGAAAATTATTGATGACTTTGTCTCAACGAAAATCAACAATTTTGTCACACAATACAACATTCCATCTATAACTGTTGAGCAAGTAAATGAACTTATTAACAATTTATCATGCTCGAAAGCTACTGGCGTAGATGGTATTAGTGTGAAGATCTTGAAATTGGTTTCTCCGGTGTTTTCCCATCCATTAACAAAGCTTTTAAATATGTCACTCGACAAAGGCATTTTTCCTACAAAATGGAAAATAGCACGGGTAACACCTTTACATAAATCTGGCTTACGTGATGATAAAAACAATTATAGACCTATATCTGTGCTACCTGTCATTTCTAAAATATGCGAGAAACATGTTGCTAGATCCGTTATGGATTACTTTACCAACAATGGGTTACTCTACGAACGACAATCTGCTTTTCGTAAAGGACACTCTATATAGAGACAGCCTTAATCAATCTTACAGATCAAATATTACTTAATATGGATAAAGACGAAGTTACTCTTATGGCTTTTGTTGATTTTAAAAAGGCTTTTGATCTAATAGACCATCAAGTCCTATTGTCTAAATTACACTTGTATAGAGTAGCTGACTCAGCAATCAAATGGTTCACATCTTATCTCACTGGAAGATCCCAATTTGTAACTATTGATGGACAGCAGTCAAGTCGTTTGCCTGTTAATCATGGTGTGCCGCAGGGTTCAGTACTGGGACCTATACTGTTTCTTCTATATGTAAACGACATTCCACTCCATCTATCACATTCATCAGTTGATATATTTCCAGACGATACAACCTTATCTGCAAGTACTCATTGGAATGATATTCCCTCAATGGTCCATGATATAAATTGTGATCTTGCTGCCTTAAATCAGTGGTCGATTCAAAATAAGATGAGTATTAACGACGAAAAAACAAAGTTTATGCTTATATCAGGAAAGCGTCTTGAAAAGAAAATCTTAGAAAAAGGGAATATGGACATAGCAGTTAAAGTGGATGATACACAGATTACTGAAGTAAATTGTCAAAAACTCCTTGGAGTAACGATTAGCAATAGATTAAAGTATGAAGAACATATTGATCGATTATGTCGGAAACTCTCGAAACAGCTTGGTCTTCTCAAACACATTAGTCCGTACCTCAAGAAACAACAAAGAGAGTTGTACTTTAATAGTGTTATAAAGCCTACGATGATGTACGGGAGTGTAATCTGGGATAATTGCAATGCTGAATGTTTTCAAAGAGTATTGAAACTTCAAAAGCGGGCAGCCCGGATTATTTTGGATGCAGAAAAGATGGCACCTTCAATTGTTATGTTTAACACTTTAAATTGGTTTCCTTTTACCAAGGAGTCTTTGATCAAGAGAATAATGTTAGCGTATAAGCGTGTAAATAGTGCTTATAATACTCCTAGCTATCTAAATTCACTTTTAGCGCGAAATTCAGACAGGCATAGTAGGAATACACGTTATTCGAATTTGAATATGCTATGCCCAATTTACAATCGTAAAACAGAAGGAGGCAGAACCTTCACTGTAAGAACAATTATAGACTGGAACAAATTAGATTTGAACGTTAGAAGTATACATTCTGCTTTTAGCTTTAGGCGTAGTATTTATAAACAGTTTTTAGATGATCAAA